AAGGCCATTGCTAGATCTTGAGCAATAAAATGATAGTTTTAGATTATAAACCACAGAATAAAACAAATATCTATAACTCAACACTGATATAAACAAATTACTGAATAAATAAATGTGGAAAGGTGACAGTTCATCCTTACAGAAGAATTTCAATTAATAAATGTAGAAGGAAATGAGAAAAATATAAAATCATTAAGTGACCCTTTCTGTAATTGTCTACCAAAGAATTCTGCAATGAGTTTGCAAGAGTTTGAGAATAGGGTATCCGCATAGTTTCAAATAATCTACCCAAGATGGCTAGTACTTACAAAGAGAAAAACAGTTATCTTTACAAGTAGAGAAATTTGACAGATATGACCTTAACCAAACGAGAGCTAACATCATCTCTAACAGGATATACTGACATCCTGTAACCTGTGATATGATGTACTGAAAAGACTCAACATCACTTCAGTAGTATTTTGCCAAAAATGCATAACCTCAATCTAATGAGAAAACATCAGACAAACTCAAATTGAGAGACATTCTACAAAGTAACTGATCATACTCATCACAACTGTTAAGGTCATAAAAGATGAGAAAAGATTGTCACAGATAAGAGACTAGGGAGACTTAGCCAAATGCCATGTCTGATGCTGGACGGAATTCTAAAACAGAAAAAGATCATTAGTGGAAAAACGGGTGAGATTCAAATAAGGTCTGTAGTTAGTTTAGTTAATAGTAGTGTACAATGTTGAATTTCCTGGATTTGATCATTATGTTCCGGTTCATGTAAGTTAACACTAGGGAAAGCTGGGTGAATGATATACCTGAGTTTTCTGTACCAGTTTTGCTACTTTTCTGTTAAGTCTAATACATTTCAAAACAAAGTTTTTGTAAGGTTTTTTAAGAAGTATCCTGTACTTTCTCTCCTTTAACTGAATTAAAAAAAAAAAAAAAGTTGAGAAATTCAAGTCATATTTATACAGGATAAATTCAACATTTCATTATTTGAAAAGTAACCAACATTAGAATAAGACAAGTTATGGAGTTAATACTTATTGAGTATTTACTATATTCAAGACCTGTACCAGGTGCTAGAAATGTTGCCTTCAAAAAGTTTATAGTTGATAAAAAATAAAAATGATAAACTGTTAGCCTGACTGATGAAAAATTCTGACACACACATATAATCAATCAGACTATAACCTAATGATTAAATAACAACAGTTACGTCATTTATAATGTTAACATTTGTAAATGAAAATCCTTTGGATAACTAAAATCTTCAAATAGGACATTAACACCTGTACATTTACAGAGCCTAAGTAAGCTTAACAAATTCACTACACATATTTCATACAGTAGTCTCATATGTAATAATGTCTAATGCTTCACAAAGTATTATTATTTTCTATCAAAGATTATATTTCTCCAACATAGAAACTAGCTGCTTACTTTAATCTGAGGCAAAAAAAAAAAAAGAGAGCGGTAACAATAACAAAAATAACCACAAAAATCAAACTCAACTAAACTAAATGGTTATTAAACCAAGAACAATCAAAGAAAAAAAAGGTAGATCAATTTATATAGAAAGTATCCAGCTAAAGACAGCCAGCTGAAAATCAAAATGTCAACCAATACAGAAAGTATTTTAAATTCAGTGAACATAATATGTGTCTGGATTTTTAATTCTTCAAAATAATAATGCTTAAAGAAACTTAAATACTCCATATCCCCTCCACCAGGTGACTCAATCAACAGGGTTTAACTGCACTCCAAAAGTTGTTGCAAATGCTAACATCATGCTCTTAACACTACTCATTGTTTCAAAACTTGTAAGAATCAAAGGAACTGTATACTGTTCTACCACCTCCAATAGGCCTTTCCAAATCAAAGTAGTAATATAGGATGAATCTATATATTAAAGATAGTAACACAAGGATTATGCTAACATCTGCAATGTAATAGAAACACTACTGTTACATTAAAAGAGATAGATCACTCTGAACAGATACTGCAATTAACTGATTACTGAGAGAATTTAATCTTACATCTCAAGTATCAATAACTCGTTGTAAATCTCATGATAGCATTCCAAATTTTGACTTGTTTTTCCAAGATTTAACATTAGCCATTCAGAAGTCTTCAAAATATGATTCAAGGCCTGATCCTGTCATCAATTTATTTGAATTTAACTGATAGCACATGAATGAAAACACCCTTTCAACAATACTCATTTTTCAATTATACAAAGACAGCAGGAAGAAAAAGAGGGAACCCCCTCCAAAAATGCAAACTTTCATAAAAAGTCTCACAAAAAGCAACAGCTCTTTAAACAACTGCACATCTGTACATCAAAACTCAAAGGGGGCAGTGCCCCATAGCTTTCTCCTCAGCTTTCTACATTCTTTCTTTAGGGAGATCCACCCTGTTTCATAACTTTTAAATACTATTTAATGCTCTAAAAGGTAATAAGGTGTCAAAGCAGGTGAAGTACGCTACTAATTTTTCAAAGTGGGGGGAAGAAAACATACATATTTGCTTATACATGCACAAAATGTATTTTTGGAAGGATATGAAAGAAAACACTAACACTGGATCCAACCAAAACTGGTTGAGTGGAAAATAAGGTAGATTTTCATTTTATACCCCATCGAACATTTTATAATTTGAATCATGTGTGGTTTTTATTCAAAATATAAATAACCCAACAAATGCTGATGACTCCCCATCTCTCTTTCTCTCCTCACTAGAATTCAAGTCCCACGAAAGCAGAGATTTTTGTCTATTTTTTTCACTACTATATCCCCACTGCCTGGTCCACAGCTGGTACTTGAAAAATGTGTTGAATTACTCCTTAACCTCTCCACTAAATTCCAGACTTGTACATCCAAGTGCCTACTTCTCACTTCTGTCTGAACATCTAATAAGTCCTACTTAACATGTTCAATTCTACCCTATCCCCATACAACTTGCTTACCTCATCTCAATACATGGCATCACCATTTTCCAGCTAAAGCCCAAAACCCAGGCCTCACCCTGTCCCAATCAACTGCACTTTCATCCAACCCACAAGTTCAATAAATACCTCTATCTCCAAAATATATTTCAAACCCTTTTTCACTTGTCTCCAATACTCTAACTACTCAACCTGTCAAAGCCTTCTCACTGGTCTCCCTGCTCTTTTTCCTCTTATCCAATCTCCCCCCAGTCAGACTGTGTAAGTCGGGCCCTATCACTCCCAGTTTCACAAAAATTCCAATAGCTTTCCAACATACTTTGAAAATAAAAGCCAAAGGCCTCTGGACAATAAGACTTCACATGATATGGCCCCTGGCTGTGACCTCACTTCTTATCTTACACAGGGCCCACCTTCACTAAGCTTTCTCTGGTTTGCTGAACCCAAGCTAGATACCACCTCTAGGCATTTCCATTTGTTGTTCCTCAGACAGGAACACTCTTCCTTCAGATTGCCAAAGGCTAAATCCCTCTCATTTTTCAGATATCAGGTCAAAGTCACCTCAGATAGGCCTTTCCTGACCACATCAAGTGAAGTAGTCTTCTCCCAGTCACTATCACGACTCCCTATTTTATTTCCTTCATAACATTTATGATTCTCTGAAATTATTTTTATTTATTATTGTCTGCCTCTCCCTCCACCACATCACCAAAATTGAAGCTCCAGGAGTACAGAAATTTCACGTGTCTTGTTCATTGTTGTAGCTCTAATGCTTGCAATAATGCTAGGCATAAGAAAAAGGTGCTTAATATTTAACTAGTAGATAAGGCAAAACTGACTTTAAAGAAATCTACGACATTTAATTTAGTGATAGACTGGTGAAGATAAAAGACATAGATAAACTTATCTTCACATTCATAAAACAAAATCATCAGAGAGGTTGGAGAGTAAGGTAAAAGTATTTCACATGCATATCAACATTCAAACACATAAAAAAGGTTTTTTCACACACCATGTACATGCATACTGCAGAAATGTGCTCCCAACTTATAAACATCTGAAAAAAAACTTAAGAATAATAATTCAAAACACGGGTATACATGTTATTTCATCTGTGACTCTTTTGGAAGGGTTTTCCAACACTGGATTTGGGCAAAAGAGGCAAAGTATAACCAATGTGTTCTTGGAAAGGAATGTGAGATTCTGAAGGGCAGGGAACAGTCTTTTGAGTGTTTTTAAAAATCAGTCATAACAGTGATTATTTCCTATAGTTTACTATGAATGTTGGTTTGAACAGACCTAGTTCAAAGATTTTGCTACTGTAAAGTCACAGTACATAGTGAATGTTAACAGTTTATATCTTATTATTTTCAAATTTTAAACTTCCAAAGTGCTGCCCTTCAACTGGTAACAGTAATCCATGGGGGAAAATCCATGAATTGCAGATTGTTATTAACAGTAACAGTCTGCAATTCACAGGTGTTTTATTCACATGCACGTATTTGTGGGGTGGTAGAGAATGGTCCAGACTCCCCAGCATGTAAGTGCTCCAAAGAGAGCCTAAGGATCTCATTTCACCAGACCCTAAGTGTTGAGACAGGTCTAGCATGTACGTTGGCTACTCTTCCCCATAGCTATCCATCTTCTCTGTCTGCGAAAACAAAAGTGAAAATACTCGTGGTAAGGATGTAAGAGATTGATGCCCTCTCCCCCAAACACAGAGTTGTGTATCCGTGAGCACGTAAATAAGCAGATGAGTAGACGCACTCTCACCTTGCCTCCTTCAGAGGAAAATGGGGCCGAGGGAGGGGCGGCCAAGGCCGGGTTGGGGAGGCCCGTGATTCAGTCCAGGGGGTGGCCGGGCTTAAGGGTCAGCGCTCCGGGGAGCCAGGGTCACTTATGGGACACCATCTTCCCTGGCCAAGCCCCTGCCACTCCTCTCCCCTCCCCCCTCGTCGCCCCCAACTCCTTTCCTCCGCCCTATCTCCGCCACCCATCAACCGGGAAGGGAAGTTTCCGGGCGCCTGCAGCCCGGCTCCCCGACCCTCAGCGGGGTTACCTTCTGCAGAAGCGGGACAGGGGGCAGGGGACAAGGGGAGGGGAGGCAGCCCGAAGGAATGAAGGACGAGGCCCCGGCGAGGAAGGTGGGCGGCGGCGGCGGCGGCTGTCACTCGCGTTCCCCTGCTCACAGCGCTGCCATTACTGTGCCCGAGGCCGCCTCCCCGGCCGGCCGCCGCCACCCGCCCTAAAGACACGGGGGGTGCGCCGCGAAGCCCGGGAGCCCGCGCGCTGGACGCTCACCTGCCGCCGCGCGGAGACACAAAGAAGCCGGGTCGGGACAGGGGAAAAGGGGAGTGGGGAGGGGAAAAAGGACAGGCTGGTTACCGGATCCGTGAAACAACCGTCTTCCCGAGCGCCCGACTTTTCCCAACACACACCCTCCCTCTTCCGCTACCTCAAAGTCCCCCCTCGGAGCGCAGTGGTAGAGTCCATGTTACGGCAAGCGCAGAGAGCCCGCTTTAGTGCAATTGCGAAAGGCCACGGAAATCAACACAGAATCTGAAGGGAATCCTTGCGGCGCTCACCAGAATGAGGCAATCACGGATCGCTGTGCTCAAGAGACCCAGTACCCACCAGGCTGGGGGATGACATACTAATGACAATATATCAGAAAGGTGTTTTCAACAAAAGTATTATCCTTTGAATTGTTTCAGACCTGTGTGAATATTCTCAGCACCACACATTTCCACGGGCTTTTCAAATAATCAGAAATATATTGGCAAAACTATTTTTTCCTCTGACATACCCTTTTTCTAGTGGGTTTTCATCTGTAGACAAATTCTGAAACATAAATGTATTTTCAATAAAACTTCTTTTCGGAGTCTTGACCACTAACTCCCCACCTCCCCCACCACCATCATATCAGTCTGAAAGGGTATCCCTCCCTTACAATTTTAAATGGTAATGCTGACAAAAATGTGAATTTACCTATCACTCCTCATATACACAGGACCATAATGAAACAAAACCTAGCTTTATCCCTTTTTTACCTTTCATACGCATAAGATCTCAGTCTTGTTAGAGTCTTGGTCAGTTCTTCGTTTGTACGTTTTGAACAAGCCTTTCTCTTCCGACCTTCTTTCTTCAAACTGTTTCTATCAACCCCTTCAAGGCCCCTTTAAAATTCTGTCTCCTGACCTGGTAAATCCCACCAGTCTTTCTCATCTCATGACTTGAAGTCTGTACTCTATTTTAATAAAGTTATTCAATTCAACCATTCGTTTCCATTATATGACCTTTTTTTCCCCATATTTTTTCCCTCTTTTAATTCAGCAATTTTCAAAGGGTGGTCCCCACACTTCTGGAAGTCTGCAAGACCTTTTTGCGGTCTCAAGGTTAAAAACAATCTTCATAATAACACAACACGTTCTTTGTCTTTTTTCTACTGGGCTCACATTTGTACTGATGGTGATAGTCAACTGTTGACATTGTCTTAGCAGGAGTGGTCATTGGATCACTATATTCTTCCCTGCCGCACACTCCCAGTTTTTTTGTAAATGATTTGGGAATATTCTTGATTAAGTAGTAAAAAATATTAATTTTATAAATGTCAACTTTTGTGTACATGTCTTTCTAATATTTTGAGTGAAGAAATGGGAAGTACACATGCACTTCTGCTATATACCAAAGTAGATAGTTGTGGAAGAACTAGCTGCATTTTTCACGTAACACCATTTTTTCTTGAAAGAACAACTAACAAAGTAATGTTACTCTGACTTGAGAACTGACAAATATTTCTTCAAAATGAACAAAGTGAGCCTAACACTGCAAGCAAAACAGCTGACAGTATTTGTTGCCAATAATAAAATTTAGCTTTCAAGTAAAATTTTAAAATTTGGAAGACTTCTGTTCACCACCATGAGCTTGACAGCTTAAAGATTTTTCTCGTGAGACTGTTAATGAATGTGACTTTTTGACATTGTATAAGATATGTCAACATAGGGAAGATCTACATGATACAATAAACAAATATTTTCCAAATGATTAATGCAGGACATTACAAAATGATGCATGGATAAAAGATCCATTCAAAGTGCAAGATAGACCAATGGATAGATAGATGTGTGTGTGTGTGTGTGTGTGTGTGTGTGTGTGTAAAAAAGCAAAATACAAAATGTTCTTTGATATGATTTTAGATTCCTTATTACAACTAACCTTTAAGAAACTACCACTTGTCAAATTTTCTGTAGTGTCAGAGAGGAATATTTGCACTTACCCGAAAAGACTATTAAATTCTCCTCCTAAGTCCTCCTATTTTCTTCATCTACTTCAACTATAGAGAACATAGCTATCTTCTATTAAGCCAGATATTAAAGAGCTATCCAAAATGGAAAGCAATGCCATTCTTCTCACTAAAATTTTTTTATTTTGAACGATATAGTTATTTTTCATAGAAATATGTAATTTATGTTAACACACATTTAGGTTTATTATTTTTTAACTAATAAATTTTTAAAATTTCTCTTTTTATTGAATTTATTGGGGTGACATTGGTTAATAAAGTTATATAGGGTTCAAGTGTATAATTCAGTAATACATCATCTGTATATTGCATTGTGTGTTCACCACCTAAAGTCAAATCTCCTTCTGTCGCCATACATTTGTCAAATTTCTCTTTTTAATTCTAATATGGTAACTATTCATAGGTATAACCCACATAAACACAGGTTCTTTGAGTATCTCAATAATTTTTAAGAGTGTAAGGTGGTCCAGAGACAAAACAGTTTGAGAACTGTTGCTCTGACTCATAAACCACCTCTGATCTCACTACTTTCCTTTCAAACTCTAGCTAAGGTACGGACTAGCATAAAGGATGTCAAACATAAATAACTATAACACCCCCCCATTTCTTAATTCCAGAGATCTCTCACCCCTTCATAGTTTATTTAACTAATCTAATAGGAAAATTATATTTCTAAAAAAGTTATAGCATCTAAGCCCTTAATATTAAATTGAGATTACATCTTCCTTCCAGAATACAAAGGTATCCTTTGGTCCATCTTTCAAGCCACCACTTTAAACAATGGTTGATCTTCACCTCAACAATAAACCTTTAACCCTAGTTTATCTATAAAATTTTTCCTTGTTTTACTTTTCAGCGAAGACTACATGTATAAGTAAAATATACTTCCTTTGGGCTTTGTATAATATTTATTGGATTCCTTTTTTTTATTTCAAAAGTTATAAATGCCTTTTGTGTAAAAAAAAAAAAACTTGCCAATATTACAGAAATAGATAACCATGTTTAGGTTGATAAATATTCCTCAAGATATTATCTATAACTATGATTAAGTATATTTACACAAATCAGATCATATTATAGATATGCTATTTTGTAGCCAGCTATTGATCTTTGTCAGAACACTTAAATAATTGTTAGTCGGGCAAAGTAATTTATAAATTAATATTTAAAAAGGAAAATTAATGAAAAATATTTTAAGTAGACAATCTCTAAATGTCATTACATAAGTTGGTAACAAAGTATATCGATTTCTATTCATTTCTACTTGTGAATGGACACAATTTCCTTTTTCAAAATTTTCCAAGTTCATTTCATAATCTCCCTGTACCTACTATTTGAGGACCTCAACAAGAATCATTTTCTGTCTTTATAAGTTTCCTTGATAGACATGAAACCCAAGAGCCCTAATTTTTCTGGGACATTTATAATTTAAAATAATTTACCTCATTTTTATATTCTATACACTAAATCTGAATCATCTTTTCTTAAATCTTTACTGTGGATTTGCATTTCCTGGTTATACCATTTATTGAACTTTTTCACCTTTTGCTTCTAGTAAACTTTAAAAAATGAAATATTGAAGAATAGTTTTCATGTTTGGATTACCTGATTAAAGAGGTATTTTTGTGCTTATAAAAGTGAAAAGCTCTGCTTTAGAAAAATATCTGACTGTAGGACTGGGGTGGGAATACACAAGATAAGGCTGGAGCATACTGCAGTGTAAGAAAATAAGGAAATACTCAAAAATAAAAGCATTCATATTGATAGGAGTTACGAATTGAAAGAGCTCCCAATAGCCAAAGCTAGAACAATTTGAGCAAGAAAATAAAGTAGTAGTGAATTATAACCCAAGTATAAAATTAATGTCAATGGAGCCATACTAATATAAATAAATGATTGAAAAAAATAATAAATGGAGAAGAATAATCTCATGCAGGACAATTCCAAATAAATTATGTAGATATTTCACCACAAAAGGCAAGAGCAGAACTCTTTACTCCTCAAGTGTGAACCAAGAAGAGTTACTTCCTTCCAAAGAATATAATATGGAAAGGAAATCTCAAAAGGGTAACTTTATAGTATAGAAGCCTGACAAATGCCTCTTCAGTTAGATGGTTAAGGTCAACATTAATAATGATAACTCATTATCATTATGTTCCCGTGATGTGATGTGATAAGAATGGCACTTTACCTCTGTGATCTTCTTCCTCCAAACTCACATATTACAATCTAATTATGAGAAAAACATCAGACAAATTCCAATAGAGGGGCTTATGTCCTACAGAATATCTGACCAGAACTCCTCAAACCTATTAAGATTATCAAAAACAAGATGTCTGAGAAATTGTCACAGCCAAGAGGAGACATGACTATTGAATGATATGTGATATCCTGGATAGTATCCTAGAATGGAAAAAGGACATTAGGTAAAAACCAAGGAAACCTGAACCATATGGATTTTTTAAATAATAGTGTATCAAAATAGATTCACTAATTGCAACAAATGTACCATGTTAATGTAAGATGTTAATAAGGAAAACTGGAGGTTTGGGAGGAAGAGGGTATATGGGAACTCTCTGGTAACTACTCAATTTCTGTGTAAATCTAAATCTATTCTAAAAAAACAGTCATTAAATTTTTTTGAATCATCCAAATGTACACTTAAAAGAAGAAAAAGTACAAGGTCTCTGATCAGAAAAGCTGGGAGCCCATAAGATTTTCTGTATGAGAAGGTAGAACCAGATGAACAGGTTATATCTTTGACTTTCCTATATAATTCTGGTTGAAAGCTGTTTAAAAAAAAAAGAAAAGAAAAAATATTCTCTTTTAAATTAAAAAAATTACCTATGAAGCCCTTATATTTTTTTATAGTCACATTCAGACAGGTAATTTAACAGATCAAAACTGGGTTGAAAGAGAGCTCATTTTAAAG